TTCTTCCAGAATGGTCTTGTATTTTCCATCTTCCCAGCAATTTGAACCATCTTTCCAGTCTCTACTGAAGAACAGGAGGCCCAAACAATGATGCTGCCCCAACCGTGTAAGACAGTGGGGATGGTGTGTTCAGGATGATGGGCTGTGTTGCTTTTACGCCAAACACAATGTTTGCCAAAAAGTTTGATTTTGGTTTTATCAGACCAGAGCACCTTCTTCTACATGTTTGCTTTGTCTCCCAGGTGGCTTGTGGGAAACTTTAAACAAGACTTTTTTATGGATATCTTTAAATTCTGCCATGGCTTGTTTTTTTTTTTTTTTTTTGTGTGTTTGTTGTGCAATAAAGAAGCGGCAACAAGATAGCACCCTCCACAAAGCATGATTTTGGTCTGCCTCAGGTACTGACTACTGCTACCATTATCCTGCCCTACCATCATCACTTGCTATCATGATCTCTCCATTCCTCCAAAAGAGGGAATTCCAACAATCAAATAATCACCTGCAGGAAGTAATTAAGTGTTGCTGCTTGTGTTACTTTCAACCTGTTTTGTAATAGACCAGGTACAGATGGTAAACCGAATTTGCTCTATTCAATTTGTTTTATTGCATAAGTGAAAAAACAGGTTGACTCTTTTAAAAAAAGTGTTAAAACATATCAGAAAAAGTAGTCATACTATTTCCAGTTTGTTGCATTTTGTCACAAAAGAAGGGAAAAACCATTTACTCTCCTATTTTCCAAGTTTCATGTTGGAATAAAACATTTCAAAATCTGCTTCTAAAGTCAGTATTCCAAGAGGAAAAGTTGGAGTTAAGGTTTTGGATCAAGCTAGACCTTACAATAAAATTATTGAATTTGTTAAATATGGCATTAAAGTACTATGGCTGCCATAGATTTGAAATGTAATGTAATAACTGCAACAGTAAAATGTTGTTTGCACTTTCAGCACTTTAAAATCCAACAAACTATTAGTGTACATTAAAAAATTAAAAGAATCAATAGCTTACATTCCTATGATTTTCCGAGCCTTAAATAGAGAGACATTGTTAATTCTTAGCTTATCTCATGGTATGTTGCTGGTGTCGCTTACTGACTCTGCTAAGATGTGTATTGGATCCACGGTCTAGCCACAGCCATAATGTAAGCTGGTCAGTCAGTCATTTTTTCTTGATTACTTTAACACAAAAAGTTGATCTAGGATGATTTTAAGTGAGAAAATACACCTAAAAACTTCCTGTTTTGCCAGAAAGCTTTTACATTTTAAGTTAACGTAGGTACTACTTAGAAACCATTTCAGTAGTTTAATGGAAATAATGGGGCAGTGATCAGAAGGAGATTTTACTTTTAGTTTTTACTTTTCCATGACGTAATTTAGCATTGTGTTAGCCATTGAAATATATACAATGCTACAAGGGCAAAGCTCACGAGTTGGATGCTGTCTGTCAGCTTGTTTTAAAGTCCTTTCATCATCCAATAAATTTGACTATTATTATAAAGTTAGGGTTAATGGTAGATTTACGCCTGTTTTGTCCTATTCACTTTAAATTTTAGCTCATTTGCTTTATTAACTGTCTAATTATTTGAGGTTTTACTTAGGCACACAACAAGGAGAATTCCAATGCTATAGACTAGTCCACCCTAGACTGAAAGATACAGAAACTATTCCTTTAATATTGTGAAAACCTTTGTAAAAATACAGCACTTTTTATTTTTTTTATTTCTTAAGATATATCGCTTAAATCTGATTTGTCCTTGCTTTGTGAACTCTATATTGTGACACAATTATTAAAATTCAACTAAAACAATGCATGTATACGCACCTTTATCAACAATTTGATCTCAACATAAAAGGCTGAATGTCCACAGTCATTGGCGATAAGATCTATTTAGGAAGCAGAATAGTCGGGCTTTGTAAATGACCTGCTCCGGGCCTTTTTACTGTTCGCCATCGTTCATTACCAACACAAAGCAGCTGATGTCCCCCTCCTCACGGCCTTTTCATTTGCCAAGCTCGACATGCACCACACTGTCCATTACAAGGCTGTGACACGTGCAGCCCGGGAGACAGCCAAACGGAGAGGAATGCAGGGTGGAGTTAAATTAACAAGCTGCAATTGTGTGGAACCTGTGGACCGTCTGGGAGACGAGATGTAGCTCCAGCAACCGAGATACGCTCATTTGTAGTCTTTATGTAAGCTGAGATGTTTACTGTGACTTTACAAGCCTTTGACAATGCCACATGCAATTAAATAAACCTTAAGAAGCTCCTTGTGAAGAAACTGTCAGAAATACCAGACTTTAAAAATACAAGAAAATAACCAAACAGCAGGTAATACAGAGAGGAGGAACAAAAATAAACCTGCACTTTAGATCTAGTCGTAAGCAGACTTTCACCTCCTACTCTCCCTCCTTAAGACACAGACACACACACTGTAATTACTCCTCTATCCATACAAATTGAATGAAGCCAGAACCGTGGTCTAAGAATATGGGCCGTAATTAATAAATTACAGTTACTCTACTCTATCATTCTCCACTTTGGAGCATAGACCTCCCATTCACCGCAGAGCAATTACCCCAGCTCACGGGTAAAACACGCGCGACCTGATGCTGCTTTTAACAGAGCAAACAGATGCAGGAGTAAAACCGTAAGGTCATACCACAGGTTTTTCAGCCTGTGTTTACAAGTAACAAATCAAAAGCATGCATTATTTCTGAGTCTTGAAAATATACCCAGGGGAGATATTAAGTTTCCCTGTAACCCCTCAAGCATCCCCCCTTTGCAGCTGCTGCAGGAGTAAAGTGGACGTCTTCCTGCAGACAGAGGACGACACGGGCTTCGAGCTGAAAACACCCTACGCACAATTGAATTCACATACTTCAGTTTTTATGATTAAAACTCATACAGTATGCAGCATATGTCAGGCTTCGTGACACTTTTGCAATTTAAAAAAAAATGTCTTTCAAAAACAATACATTTTCTTACACCGTGTGTGTCCCCTTTGGCTAGAAAGGAGACTGCTGGAGACTGTCTAATGACTGCTAGGTCGTGTATCAAATACACAGCAGCTGGAGGCAAATGGGGAGACTCTGGGTTTGGGTTTTAGATGTTGTGGGGGCTGGGTGCAAAGTGAAGCCCAGACTTGCACAGGAGGTCTAGGCTCAGTGTTTGGGTGCAGAGGGGTTATGATTCAATAATGGAAGGGGAGTACAGGTCATGGTGTTTAAGAAGTTATGTCAACATTCTCAACACATCAACTGACAAGTGAAAGTGATGTATGTGATGCAAATCATTTTTTGTGTGAGAGGAAAAAAATACTTTTTTTAGAAATTAAAACATAAATTAAACTCTGACTCGCTTACTGTAAACAAATGGTGATTTCATATGGTGTTCCTCAGGGGCCAGTGCTGGGACCAGTGTTATTTCTCTAATTATTAATACTTGTGAAGTTTCTAAACTGCGTCAGTCTTTAAAAAATACATCTATATATTATATATATATATATATTACCTCAGGAGGTACTATATATTCTGCTCTTTTTTTAATAGTTCCTTATCAGTCTTTCTGTTTTGAAGTGTGAGGAATCATTGTTATATCAACTAATGTAACTGAACATAAAGGTAAGAGAGATACAAAAACACCTTTTTAAGCAGGCTAAATGGTTATGACTTTGTGAAAAACAGATTCAGTCACTTATCATTGACTGTATGACTGCATTGACTATGTATAGTGACTGTACTAATATGACTGTATTAGTTAAAAGAGTAAATTACGAAACAGTTCTATTAATGAACTAAGATAAAGGGAAATATCAAAAAGGTTTTAATATATCCTCTAAAGTAATTATATCAATAATTGAAAACATAAGTAATATGAACCCGAGTGTGATATCTGAAAAATAAAACAAAAGAAAGTCCACAACTGTGTCTGACTTGTAAATGATTATTTAGTTTTTTTTGTGTGTATTTTTCTTTTAATTAGAAAAGGAATGATGCATAGTGCAATATTGAAGAATTTCTCTAAATTTTTAAATTTCTCTAAATTACACTAGTAATGTCCTGTTTAATAAATAGGTTGTTGCAGGCAGTAAACATTATTATTTACCACCCTAAAAAAACATGAAATACGAAAAATGACATTCAGTTATTTAGAATGTTGTCACTATTAAATTGACAAAAGTTGATACAATCCCATCCAGGCATGCAGTCATATATGATTATACAAGGTTATTTTGAGTCTATTTCTGATAAAACATGCTAAAATTAATTTAAGCATTTAGAGCCTGTTGGTACATTACTATTAATATCCAACAATAAATGATTTTTCTAATAAGGATCAGCATTCAAAATCTGAATTAAACTATGAAAATTTAAAACTCAAACCGTTACAAATCAGGTTCCACAGTAATATTACTTCTAAGGCTGCAAATGACCAAGTTACAATACTGGAAAATATGCTACCAGATTTGCTTCAATTAGGATTACTTTTATTTATAAAAGCACCTCATGGGATCATCACTATAGAGAGATAAAGTAATGCTGGCTTTGATTTAGTCTGGCTACTCATAAAATTATTAATATTGTCATCAATCAGTAATTCTACTCTAAATGTGTCTTTTTCTGTTATAGTGAGTGTAATGAGATAGCAAAGAGTTTTTTTCTAATATTTGATATTTTACTTCAAGGAGAAATCTTAAAAGAGTAGTTATTTTCTTTATAGCATATAAAGCCATCATTTTCAGTGTCGCTTATTAATATTATAATTTGCTTAAACTTTGAAATAAACATTAATTGTAACTCAAATTTGGTTAAATAACCTTTTTATCTGGTGTCATCTCCATCACTGATAGGGACATAATATTAGTTTTTTTTCACATCACAACAAGGCTGATGAGTTGTGAGCTGACAGGGTAATACTGCCCCCTGCTGGGTCAGGTCCAGCCTTACATTTGATGTCATTACATGGCATATGGACTTGTTAGTATCAGGTTAGTGTACTCACCTGAGGAACGTGACCCAGCAGAGCCCACAGTGATTCAGCAGAAAAGGTCTTGATTCTGGAGAACTCCAATGTTTCAGTATCCTGGCGGTCAAGAGCGATATACTGGCAGCCCAAGTAGTCTCCTTTCAGCTGCTCCCCACCATGCAGAAGCAACAGATCCCATGTTCCCATCTTCCTGAGGACTCCACGCACCGACTCTATCTGCCTGTATGACAGATGCCCTGCAGAGAGATAAAAAGCAACAACAAATAAAACTGGTTGTATATTGAAAATGTATTAAATGACTAGAGTTTGAAACCAAAATATATATATATATAAAAAAAAAAGGTTGTTTACTCGGTCAGCAAGTTTTCTAAAACTCATTATGGCATTAACTACACTCTGTGCCAAATTTCTAAGGCCTACCCATTTACCTGAAATCCAGGAAGGAGTCAAAGCATCAGATATCCAGCCCACATAACCTTCTTTGAAAGTTCTCAGGAACTCATCTATCTCTCCATAAGGAACCAGCTCCCTCCTCTTCCTCAACTCATCATCCAGCTTGCAGTCAGGCGACAGAAATATGACCCTGGGGAGGAAGAGACTGTTGCGTATTGGCACTCCACTCCTCTTCAAATGACTGCATAACTGGGCTGTTTTGCTCTAAAAGAGAGTAAAACATCAGGGAGAAGCAAATAAATATGCATCTGTATCATTATGCCATTAATTCAACATCATCATCATGACAAACTGGATGGTATGTTTACTTCTTTCATCATATAATCCTTTTATTGACGTGATATTTTGTTAAAAGACATCATCTTGTTCGTTCTAAAAATATTTTCTTGGTACCTTTAGCGTAATGGGAAATTTTAAACAATATAATGGAAAAAAATTAAAGATTAATCAAATTCCAGCCATCTCATTAAGACTCATCCTATTACCACAAACAATTTACTGTTGGTGCAGATAGACATAGAACAGGGAGAATATTCTGCAGCTTCTTCTACTCAAATACTTGCAATACAAATAGGTAAGGAAAGGGGCAAAAAAAAAGGACCCAAGTTGAATGGTAGAATACATAACAGCCCCACACAGGATGCCTATGTAAGTTTGATAGAGGAAGATCTCGCTAAGCAGTTTTATCCAGAGTGGCTTTCTAATGAGGATAAGACACTGCATTTAATATCAAATTGACAAGTAAAGAATGTTTTTCTTTGCAATACAAACAGCTTTTGCAATGACATACATGGTCAGTTAATATCAAGTTACAGATAATTCAATAAGGCCCAATTATGGTGTTGCATTCTGATCCAACTGCTTACAGCCTGGCTTAATTCAGAGTCAAATTTAGTTGATTATTTTCTACCTATTTGGTAAAAAGTTACTCATGCAAAGAAACCAATGTGATTGCACTATGTGACTGATTTAGAAGCGATAGTTTTGCTTTTTACCTAACGTGCTGATAATGGAGAGGAATAACCCTCATCTGATAGGTAAAAACCTCCAGCAGAGAAAAGGAATGAAAGAGCAAAAAAAAAAAAAAAAAGTAAAACAACCAAAATAAGAAAATCACAGAAGGTCTGAGCTGAGAGTCCTTTCAATTGGAAAGAACAGACTAAAAGGTAATGGAAGCTGTCAATAGATCTTTCTATTAAAGACATGCAGGTAAACACGGATAAACTGGCAAAGGCTGCTTTCTATGGAATAAAAAACAAAAATGGTCCACAGTGACATCCACAATGGTTTCGCTATGAAAGAGACATGGCTAAACATAGAGGTAAAAGATATTTTTCTATGGAATGAGGAGTACAAAAAGTTAACAGCACACAAAGTTTAGACAGTAGTTCAGAAAGGGCACAAAAGCACAAGAAATAAATATAAAAGCAAAAAATGAGAAGTGTTTTTCTTACACTAACATTAAAATAGAACATAAAGATCAGGCAATAGTCTTTTAAATGGCTCAAAGTAAGAAAGAGACACAGCTAAATAGAGAAGCACTGAACCAAGGGGGTTAACCACTATGGGAAGAAAAAAAAAATGACCATTACTTTTTGGTCCCCATTGCTCACATAACTCCAGTTCCTGACATGGTGCCTGCGCCATCTTTGTTAGCTCTTGCCCCCAAAACGAATCCCATAATGCTTTTTCAAGGAGAGCTCTTGCAAAGCATTCTGGGATATATCTGCTCATTTAGTGACCATGGATGCACACTACTTTTCAAGGTGCATTGTGGTAGATTTTGAATCCACTACTTTTTTCTTCCACTAGATATTTGGACACTCTTTTAAATGGTGTGACGTCTATTTAGTGCTAATATAGGTGTGAGGGCGGACATTTTGACACAGCCATAGTTTAGTCAATGGCCCCATCAAAAAAGGAGACACGGCTAAACAAAGAAGGACTTAGACAAAAAGTTGATGAGAGAGTACTTAAAAGGAGACACAGCTAAATATTGAGGTTGAAAAGAACAGCAAAACTGATGATAGACATACACTAGATCACCAAACGTATTGTGTCACACCAACAAATTAGTACATTTAAATGTTCAATAAAAGATGAGTTTTGGAAACTAAAAAATGTGTTGAATTGTAAAATGTCTGAATTAAAGCAGAGGCTGCAAACCCTGGTTTTCTCACCAGTGAACAAGTTTCTATCATGTGGGACAGTGACGCCATCAACAAACTGGACCATATAGATTAAGAATAAGAGAGAAAGTAAAGTGGATACACAAATAGTTTTGGCAATCGTGTAGTTCTGTCAATGAGCACAATGAGGGAAGAGACAATGAAAGGGAAATATAATCAGGTGTACTTTCTATGGAAAAAGAAATAAAAAAACAAAGGGTAGAACACCTAATAGAAGAGTGAATTTAAAAATATCTCATCTATGAAGCTGAGATAAAGTTGCTAAGTATAAAATGTATTCAGTCACAGAAAAACAATGCCAGGAGTTAGTAGACAATCAGGTATAACAACATCTTTAAGTACCGTAAAACTTGTAAAACGATTAATTTTAGGAACTAATTGATTTGAGCATCTATGCACATTGTTCCACATTGGAGGCTTTCAGGGAAAAATAAAAAAGGCTGGGAACCAGTGATCTTAAATCGAATGGAAGTGATGTAACCTCAGGTGTATCTGCAGACTGAAAAATTTAAACAGAACAGCTTGTTTGCCGTCTAATCAAGCTTCCCGTCATACTGAAGCATCTATAGAAATGGAAATGAGTGACTCCTAACAGAAAAAGGTCACAGCTGTGTTTAGGCACCTGCCTGCTTTCAACCCCCAGTCCCACCCCCTCAGTCTGTGAACGCAATTATAAGAGTGCCCACTTGTGAAGTTTAGGTAGCCCTGCTGCCGTGTTTGAAATTTCCATATAAATTGTTACAGTGACACAGAGTCTCTTAACCCGACAGCAGTTTGTATGAATTCAGTGATTTGGATAATTAATTGGACCTTGAGCTTAAGTAAGACACACAGTTAAGCTCTTCTATTATATTTTTGTTAGGCAACATTCTGCTAATTGAGTGTGTTTACCATGACAGCTTTGAGGGGATCATCAACCTGCTCAATGCGAGTATTAGTGAAGTTTTGGTATTCTTCTTTTACTTGCACATGCCAGTTTTTGTTGTGAGCATACACTGTCCCACTCCAGGGCTTTAGATCCATGCAGAATATCCCATGACCTAAAACAAAAAAAAGGAGATAAAAATACATAAATACCTACACATCTCTAAATTGTTTTTTTTTTTTTGTGGTTTGTTTGATTTTTTTTTTTCCCTTTTTTGAGTTCTTTAATGGCAGTAATTAGAAAGAAAAGTAGCACATAGAGGAAGACATCCAAGAAAGTAAACTAGAATAAGCATAATTTATCTGTGTAGTATAACTTGAATTCTACACAGAATCCATCTGGAAAGGCTCCTGTGGAAATTGTTCGCAAAAGGGAGGGACATTCGGTACAATTCTTCGAGTTGATGGGTAAATCACCAAGTGGCACCTGCCTACCGTGTCGAGTTTTTAGCTAATTGCAGCAGCAGTAGTAGGTCTGTCATATCATGTTCTTGATTTTTATTCACAACTAGCAAAGTTAACTGGTAAATGAAACTATTGCCAAATCCGTAGGGTGAAACGTGCAAACATCTTTCCCATCCAAATCAGCACAAATCATGTAGTAGCGTTGATGCAGCCCTGTTTGTTTTGCCTCAGCCTGGCGTTTCTGGTTGATGTCACTGCATTTCAATGGTTCGAAAAATATCTGTTGTGAATTCGCAGCAAAGGTTGTTCGCATTTCCAAATATATATACAACTTTTATGTGATCTCCTGTGTGACCTGTATTTACACAACTTAAAGGTATACAGGATGATCTTTTATTTCCGGGTGGATCATCTAAATAAGTGGTCCTCCTTATTGTCAATCATTCTGGTGATATGTTTATGTAAGGCCGACCTACATGCTCGTCCCCAGTTAGCTATCTTTTTCTGCATGTGCGCACTTTCTGACATATATCTGTGGTGAGCTATAGTTTCAGACAGTCATTGAAGTTCACATTTTTCATTGTGGTTTTTAAATATGGCCAGGGGTTGTGAAAGACCTCAGAAGAGGCAGCTATATCCCAGAATGCTTTGTACAGAGAGCTCTTCTCACAAAGCATTATGGGATTTGCTGTCACAGCGGCCCGCTGTCGCTACNCAGTGAAATCAGGACATTTCCTCACTTTCTAAAAAAAACCCGGGACGCCCGGGACAGGATGTGAAATACGGATATGTCCCGGGAAATACGGACGTTTGGTCACCCTATGTAAGGCCGACCTACATGCTCGTCCCCAGTTAGCTATCTTTTTCTGCACGTGCTCACTTTCTGACATATATCTGTGGTGAGCTATGGTTTCAGACAGTCATTGAAGTTCACATTTTTCATTGTGGTTTTTAAATATGGCCAGGGGTTGTAAGAAAAGTGTATAAGAAGAAATGAAAGACCTCAGAAGAGGCAGCTATATCCCAGAATGCTTTGTACGGAGAGCTCTTCTCACAAAGCATTATGGGATTTGCTGTCACAGCGGCCCGCTGTCGCTACCTGACAGTGGCGACTAATAACAAAGATAACACGGGCACCGCGCAGTGGAGGAGGAGCTACGTGACCAAAGGAGCAAAAAGTAGTGATCATCTGTCCAAACGGTCAGGTAACTGAGTTTGCTATAAAGGCCACTATAAAGTCCCCGCTCTATATAGTGATTGAGGTATTTAGGGGTTAGCAGAAATTCAGACACAGTAAGCTTGTATGAGCTATGAGAACAGTATCTTTTGTGCACTAGGAGAAATGGGGTCGTGCATGCTCTAGCACACGTTTAATAAGTGTTCCCTCTCGGGAGCGGGTACAGGGTTGTGCATGTGCATGTTTTTTTTTAAATTGGAGAGGGTGGTTCTTTTAATAAAATTTGTGAAAATCCCCCACAATACCTTTAAATGTCCCGCATGCGCATTAGAGGACACAATGATATCACAAGCAATCGTGCTCTGTGTTTACGGAAGTAAACATGGATGATAGAGCACATCTGTGCTAGAGCACATCTTGCAATCTTTAATTTCTTTGCCGACCTTAGCCAACGCATTAACAACACAATCTTTACAAGAAGGTTGAAAATAAAGACTGCTCTCCACATTGTCATCCGCCGTAATTGTTTTTCTTCTCACTTCTGCGTAGCAAAACACAGAATAGTGGCCTTTGTTGCGTTTTAATGGGGTACAGTTTGAATTAATTTTAAAAAGATCAGATAGGTATGGCATTCAGAACCACATAGCCAAGTGGCCTGGGTCACACTGTAAAAAAAATAAAATCTGATCTTTGTTGTTAAAACTTTCATGAAAAGATTACATCCAAGCAAAATATGGGCAAAAAAAAAAAAAAAGAAAATCAGATTTGGGTGAATTCAGGCTGCAGTGTGAACGTATGGCCTTCGTAGCTCAAAATAGGGTAAAGTTGGTATCAGCGGGTCAAAGGGGCAGAAATCCTGAATTAATGCTTTCAAACCTGTCAAGATAACCATGTTGATGTCGTCTTTGGCTGTTAGAAGCTGGTCGGAAACACGAAGATTGCAATACACATCTTCCTTCCTCAGTCCAGTGACTTTTCTGCAGAAGAGAAGCACAAAGGAATACAATTTGTCCCTTGTTTCAGGTCATTATTTCTTGCCTTATATACAGCAGAATAATAAGATGGCAATGTGAATCACCTTGTCCCAATACATTATGAGATTTTGCATTATTCTGCCCTCAGTTTTTGGGCACAAACATTGAAGTGTCTCTCAAGCTACAGGTTGTTACTGTGATGATGCAACTTTTGCTGCAAATAAGGCTTTAAATAACATGCACAAAGCTCTTGATTTATACAGTCATCTAATATAAGGAATTTCTAAAGACAATCTCAGAAAAGTGTGAAAGACCTCATTGGTATGTACAATTTATCTTAGTGATAAAGAGAATCATTTTAGTTTAAAACAAATCTTAGCAACAATTCATCTCACTTTCTAGGGTTAATTTTTCATAACACGGCATACTTACATGACATGTTGTAAAAAGTCAGGCTGGGTTGGAAGCTGCTTTAAAGTTTGTTTTTGAGTGCTTTCTGAAGTTTTATGGGGAAAATGGAAATGGGTGAGGAGGTTTCCAAACTGAAGCATTCTATTTATATCTAAAATAAAAAAAAATAAAAAGACTTGGTTAGATCACATGCTGTAAGAAAACATTAAATATATATGCTAATATATATATATATTTAGATGGCCTTGCAAAAGGGGTCCTACCTGTTTACCCTTATCTTGAGAAGTTACAACATTCCAACACAAACAAATGTTGGGGTTTTATGTGGTATACCAACACAAGCGAGAACATTATTGTGAAAGTGGAATTAAAAATTATTTATTTCAATTTAAAATACAAATCTAGAAAGTGTGAGGCGAATCTGAACTTAGCCTCTCTTAGTGAACAGTTAATATAACTATCTTTAAGTGCTATTTAAGGAAACCTATAGGGTTAATGGGGAGGTATGTCTCTAGCACCTTTGCTTTAAACTCAACTTTGATCAGACTTGCTGTATAGAAAGTGTGAACATCAGTTTACAGTTTTTGCAACATTTGACAGTCTTGGACCAATTTAACATTCTAAATGTCTTTGCTCTAAATATTAAATATTTGTCATGTAGTTTTGCCTCTAAGAAGGCAAAGTCAAGTCCCTGTTTAAAAAAAAAAAAAGTATCCAATTACCAACTTAATCTCAGTTGATCATGGTACCGTCTTCCATACATGCTGTAAAACATATTTTTCCCGTGCAACTCTCTGTCTTTGCAGCTCCTCCAGCCATCAACCTCTGGCTGTTACTCCTTTTGATTTTCAAAGCTTTTTTGCTAGTTAAGGTACACTTTTATAGTTTTGGATGTTTGCAGTTGTGACATGGTTTTCATTTTTATAAGATGAACTGAGGAGTGATGTTTTGGATACTGTTTTAGTACCTAAACCTGTTTAAACCCCCCACATTTCCCCAGCCTCTCTTTAGTGTGTGTGTTTTTTTGTTTTTTTCTAGTATGCTTATGTTCCTTGATGTTTTCCAACAAATCTCTGAGGCTTAAACATAAGAGCTAAATTCATATAGATTTGACAACAGATTCATGTCTCAAAACAATTCCCAGGAAATATTTGGGGGTAAAGTAGTATGAATACATAGAGACAGACCTTTTGAGAGTTTCATGTTAAATTATGGGGGGGAATAAAAAACCCTTTGCATTTAATTGCAGTTGTCATGACAGATTTAAACTTCGTTTTCATACTTTCAGCGAGATATTTACACAAAGAGGAGAGTTTATCTCAGGCAAATAACATTCACAGCTTAAGAAAAATTTTGCATAAAACGTTTTCAGCGGCGTTGACGGAAGTTGGATGTTTAAAATAAAATAAACAAACTAAGAAGAATAGAACAAAGAAGGCCTGGGTGTCTGACACAAGCTTCCTTGCAAGCAAACTGTACTCACTTTTTTGTTGTTGTTGCTCTTTTTAGTGTTTGTAAAGCTTCGGAAGAGGAAAGGTTTTCACTCTGTCATCTTTCAGGTCTCTGTGTTCAATCTATTTTCATCTAAATGCGAAGTAACTCTATCCAGGAAAACTGTTTCACAACTTCAGCGTCCCTCGCTCCCCTCCAGCTGGGGCCAAGCGTTGCTGGAAGAAGTAAACAACAGACCACGTGCGCCACCTGCAGCGTCACATTTCGCCCTAATAGACGTGACATCAGAGAGGACGTCAGTCAGTCCAGCACTGATGCATCCATTCAGAACATTTCTTTTCTACATTCTAAGAAATTTTTCTAATCTAATCAGAAAATGCTTGCAGTTATTTTGTGCAATGGGGTTATTTTAAATTCAGAAAGAGTTGCATGAGAAAACAAAACAAATGGTTTCATTAGTGAAAGCCATAAAGCCCATTTCAAATGATACAAACTTTAGCATGCATGATAAATAGTAAGGTAGAGCTATCTTTATTTAGATAAAAATAAAAAAATAAAATATTCATGATCAAAACAAGCAGAATTTCAGTTTTTTTAATGCTGTCATAAAACCTCCAGGAAATACCCCAAATTTAATGTTTTTCACTTTTCAAATAGCCATTAAAGGTGTCCAATCCAGCCAAAGGATCATGTTTTTTACTGTATAAAAAAAAACCAGAAAATGTTTATCATATAAATACAGCAACAATGAAACAAACCACATTCCCTGCAGATAAGTTATCCGCATAATCTGTATTTCAGAGATCTTAGACGCTCTTCTTGGAAAGAGTATTTAAATCTTTAGAGATTCTTTTAATACTTCAAGTTGATATTTCTCGAAAGCATTTGATGAAGTGGTACGAGAAGGATCAATGGTTTCCTTTTTTTTTTAGATACATCCCTTTAAGTATGGAGCTAATTGATCTTTATTATTAGGGGAACATGGTGGTGGCAGCATCATGCTTTGGACCATTTTTAACGGAGAGCGTTTTAGTATACGACGGAAGTAAGGCTCGTTAAGAGGAACAAAATGAGGCTATTATGCAATCTTCTAATATCTATGGATTGAATTTAAATTTTAGAACGACATTTAATGTGAAATAAAGTAAGCAAGAAACACATTTTTTGGTTTGTGCAACAGCATGAATCAAATTTTCAGTGTCCAAAATTGTAATGAGTTCAACTCTAAATCTGCATCTGAAACAAATAACTTAGTAGTGCCAAAGTAATCATATTTGCACAAATAAGAGCAAGAATGAAAGGCTGTAGAGAGCAACACAAATGATATGATTTAGATAAGCAGAAGGATGAGATGCTCAGGGAAAATACATAAGACTTGGAGTTGAGAAATTTTAATAAGTTGCAACAAATACAAATATTGTACTTGCTCTCACTTGTGCAAGGACAGAGAAGAAACACTGCTTTGGTTTGTTTTAAATCTCATTCTTATGGATCGTCTGTACAAACACATGCTGGCAAATCAAACATGAGCCTGCAAAGAGGATATTACAAAAACGATGAGGAATACTTAACTCAGTAGTAAATACAGTGCAAAAATCTCAGTGTGATGACAAACAATATCCGGAGAGCAGAAAATGCTGTGAAAGAGCTTAATATCAAAACCAGATAGCCAAATCAACTCATATGGGCTCAATGGAAGGCAATAAATGGAGGCACTCCGCCTCTCCTGACCTTCACTTCTGGTTTAGATAGAATCGATAAAAACAGGCACAACCTCAATAAAACCAATACAATGAAGTGAAATAAATAGATATTAAATTAAAGCAGAGGCGATAGGGCCTGAAATGCTGCAGGAATTCAAGTAGAAAAGGCCCTTTGTCCTTTTTAATACTGTGTAGAATCAGCGCCTCATGATATAGCTCCAATAATCTTCATCTCTTTCCTTCATGTATCAACACGTATAATCATCTTTTGTTTGAACTTGCAAATGACACATATATGAGATGCGGGCCATGCTCCAACAGTTCAGCTCTTCTGTTGGCATTGATATCAGATTCATCATCCCTCTTATCGCTGACCGCCTGCAGGGTGAATTTAGGATGTTGTTTGTTTATTTCAACCTTTTCTTCATATTTTCTTGGTGCACTTTAATAGGTTTATAAAGTTTATTTGGATATAAATGAATTTTTTTTTTAGAGATAACGTGCAAATAATTTTAATTTTCAGACTGATTAAAAAGCTGGCTCTTGGCCACTGCATTCTCAAAGTGGCACCTGAAGCAATTCATCCGTTTCCTGAGATAATTCAGTTTTCATCTAATGCGCCTGAAGAGCTTACAGAGTGCCTGAGGGCCAGCATCAAGGGAAATTGGAACTAATGTGAAAATATATGGGAGATATACAGTGAAGAACAAAGAAGCAAAATAATATGGAGAAAAACAATGATATACATGATCATTTCTTATTTATTTATATGTATACAACTTTTCACTTGTGTTGCATATAATTTGACAGGTGGGACAATTACGAGAAACACTAACAGTTCCTGACATAAATGTAATAAAGCATATTTTTCGATCAATTATTTCAACTTGATCAGAGTTTATAGAACATTTTAATTAGTAAATCATAAAATGAATAGAGCTGATTTTCTTAGCCAATTATCAAAATGGTAAGGACAAGAACAGTCTGTCAAGTAAGTCAGGTTTGTAATGAGCTTTATAAAGCATGGACAGAGAAGTCTGTTTTTTCCCATTGAATTTAACCCCTTTATACACATTTATAGTCATATTTTGATTAGGCTAAAATGTTTCCAACATGTTGTTTAACTAACACCTCACTCTGCTGCAGTGTCAGGTCCACTATGGTCTGGATCATTAGTCAAGGAATTAAGAGAGTGACTTTCTTCCAAAAGTAAAAAGCCATAAACTGAAATAACAGACTTTTTGGTGTCATTTTCTAGAAAAGAAAATAGATAAGTAAAGAAATCCTTGCAGCAGCTCATTTCTTAAAAATATGTTGAGAACTTGTACATCATAACACATGCTGCAAACTGTATACAAACCTAAAATATTTCTTTGATTTGAGGGTTTACACATTTATTCCTACTGGCAACTTTATACAGATGTTGATGATTAAAAAACTAACAGTTAAACACAGTTAAAATACAAAGAAAATCTTAACTGTAGAGAAATACTGATTTAAACCCACATTACTGACATAATGTTGTAAGATTTCAGCCAATTCAGACCTGCCTGTTACCAGGGGTAACAGTTGAGGGGGATGATATGAATTAATGACAGTGGAAAAGAAAAGGAAGATTTTTTCCTCCAAAGATGATATTTCCTATCATCTGTCTCATTTGCAGAAGAAATGTCTGCATGACATTTTTTCTTCCAATGCTAGCCTCACTTATTTCTGCTCATTTCCATTGAATTATTAACATAAGAGATTCTGAAGAAGCTTCCACATGGGGCTATTTATTTTTGAGCAAATCAGCACATTTACTCTGACTGATATCAGTAGTCTAACTTCCTCAACCAAACAGGTCGATTTCCTACCTGTCTGATTGCAAAGAATAAGTTTGCAGCAGGATGAGCTTAAGTGAACTGTATACACATAATTAGGGTGTTGATGATTTGGGACCAATGCAGCAAAAAGACAAACAGGCTATAAAGTGTTCTCTACATGCGGAATTACAAAACAGATAAGTGGCATTTCCTGTCACACTATAAATGTGAGATAGTATTACTTCCAGAGAAACTGTTATGAATTTGACCTCAGAGCGCTGTTTTTGTGTCCAGCTTGCGTCCATAATGAGTTCTGCCAAATGAAGAGCTAATTAGTATGCTAAAGTTTAATTGTTCAATTACAGCTGGATGTAAGTGGAGACCTTAGTGCCCTTTCCTCGTGTTTGAAAACAGTGTGGAGCATCCCGTGCAGCACATTGTAATTGCCGGCAATTACACAGAGGGCCCTCAATGTAAGCAAGGCCCTGCTGAAAAGCCTTTTCCACCTGCTTCATGCAGCTGTGTGCACCAAGGACAGGTCCCAATCAGTTTCAAACAGCGGCCAGGCTCTCGATGAGGAAGAAGGAGCGCAACTAGCTGAGAAAAACAAGCAGCACAAGTACTGCAGAGTACTATGTGTTAAAACAATATTATCACAAAGTAAACAAGAAAGCAGGAACAGAAAACTGTGTACACTCTATTTTTAAGCGACGAGACACAGATTTTTCTTCGATCTTTATGAGACTAAATTCAACAAATAAGAAGTATGGAGTGTCTGCAAGCTCCCAGTTTAACCATTGAACTTATAATTCAACTAATACGAAGTATTGACTAATGCCATTGTTTGGAAGAACTTTTAAAGATAACAACACATAATATGCCGCTCTCTATTTCGCAAGACCTTTATTGACTACCATTCATTTCTAAGGCATTTTTGGAGCCTAACTGTGACCATTTCACACCTTATTACCAAATATGATCCCTGGAACTAAAACAGCAATTCCCCTTGTGGGGTCCAGGCATCAAACCACACAAGGCGCAGTAAGTCAAAAAGAGACATCGATCTTAATGACTTGATTTTTGCTGGTTGAATATAAAATAAATAATAAAATAATGTATTTAATTTGAAGTGTTCAATATGGCCCAATACACATGAATGGGAAAAAGTGATGTAATTTGTATTAGTAAGAAATACATTTCAGATATCTGAAATGTTCATTTTAGAGAGGATCAATACTATTAAAGATATCTGAAATACATATCAGGTCAAGCAAATATATATATTAAAACGGCCACTTAAAGTGAGTAAAGAGTGGTAGATATCTGAAATAGTTCTTCATAGTACAAATTTGATTCAAAAGTACTTAAAATATAATTTCTACGGGTAGGAATATAATTAATGTTGTCTAAAATACAATCCTAATTGTGACTAGGTACAATACTTTGGTGCTATCTCTAATACAAATGTGACATTTAGTCGATTAACCTTTAAAAAAAAAGAAGAAAAAAAAAACTTTTTTTTAGTTTAACAACGTATTTTACAATTAAGAGTAGGGATATTTTATCATACTTTTACTAAAGTAAGATAAAATATCCCTACTCTTACTTGAGTAAAATTTCTGGCCACATCTATTGACTGTGTGTAACTTCATTTAATGAAAACAAGCTTGTTCTAAACAAATATGCAACATTGAGAGACAGCTTTCTTATTTTTT